ACATCAAGCTGAAGATACGCAACAACCCCACAGGCACGCCGGCACTCTTTGACACGTCGGCATGCGTACCAAAGGGACATCGCCACCTGCTTGATCGAGTAGACGAACGACATTGCCAGTAGCGAGAACGACAAACCACACCAATCATTGGGCGCACGGAAGCGGCCCGACGGCGACAGCACCGAAGACCCACTCGACGGGCAGCACGAGGAAGGGGACGACAAGACCACACCATCTGCCACAGCAGGCAGCAACGAGCAGGAAACAGGAAGCATCCCTAGCAACAGCCAAACCACTACCGGTCGCGAACGACCAACTCGCCAGAGGACTCCTGCTGACCCTGGACCCAAAGTCTCCGCAAGCCGATGGAGGCAAAATACACAATACGACCTCACCTCCGGAGGGCATTCCAAACCGTATACCTGCTATTCGCATCATGACCACCGACAGCAGCAAACCCAACATCGAAGACACCATCGACGACGCCAGGTACCCCATCATTCGCTCCGACTTGCAAGCCGCTGCGGACCGAAACGAGGACGAGTACTCCGAGGGCTACGACGACATGAACTACGCCAAAACTAAGAAAGCCACTCCAACGACGGCAGCCAGCTCCACCTAGCGGCCCTGTCCGATCCATCCAATCGCTCCTAGGAGACAAACAACCCCACCTGACTTCTCACAGCCGGCATATGAGGCGAACACCACCCTCGTGCCATAACGGGACCTGCCGAACGGAGGCCCGTCAGTGCGTCACTCCAACCGGTCACCGATTGAGCTCAAACGACGGCAGACCACTGATCTCTAAGAAACACAAAAAAATCCTGTCCCACTTCCGAACCTCGGACCTACTCTGTCACCGAACTGCCGCACACACTCTGCCACAGCAGCAGAACCAGCTCGAAAGCTTTTTTCTCTCTCTCTCTCTCTCTATCTCTCTACATATATGTAACACTACACTTCCTGGCGATGGCACACTGCAGCCTACGAGCACAGCGCGGCATCCACAACATGCGCTTGCACCCATGGCGGCTGCATCGGCAGCAGTCTGCGATGCAGAGGTTCCACGGTGGTACAGGGCTCCAGAGTCCACCGTGGCTTTCTCGCTCGGCTACTGACCGCTGTGCGACTCGCCGTGTGCACCGCCATGCTTCCGACCAGTGGATTGCGCTCCCTCGTGCGCCTCCTTGGTGAGGGCCTCAACCACCAGCTGCGGGCCGCGGCCTCGGAGGTGGCATCGCGAGGAGCCCCCGCTCCGCGGGCTCTGAGAGGGCTCACCGACCGTCGCTCCCTCCTTGAGTACCCACCGGACCACCCCCACCCAACCCGAAGGCCCCAATTTCGGGTGGGGGGGGGTGCGGGTTCCACGCGTGCTTTGTTCGACGTTGCCCGGCACCCCCCCCCCACTGGACGAGGAGGGCCAGTCTGGGCCTTCGCGTGGGGTCGGGGTGCTTCTGGTGGGCGGGGACGCCCTGCTGACCTCCGCCTGCCACACCGCTCGCCCCCTCGACCTGCACCTGCCCTCTCCCGTGGCGGAGGGACGGGATCGGACAACGACGGGGGCACGGCGAGGCACGGCTGCTGGCCGGCCAGCCCGGCGAGGGGCACCGGGGGCGCGGCCGAGCCCCCCGACGGCCCCGCGCGGCCGCCCAGTTACCCGTGCGGATGCCACGACAATGGGCACCCTAACAGTCCTGTCATTGAATTAAACATGTGCTCAAAATACGTAGAACATGTTCAAAAAAATGTTTCAAACATGTTTTTACACACTGAAAACATATTTGGGACATGTTTTAGACATCCGGAAATGTTTTGGCAGCATGCTTCCTCTCGATTGATCGTCCGCCACAAACTTACACGCTCTGCCCCGCGCGCAAGCCTGCTTGCACCGACCTCTCCTGTCACCGCCACCTTCCCCCCTCTTGCCCACGGCGGAGCCACGGCCTGTCGGCACGATTCGCGCCCTGCAGCCACTCCCAGGGCAGCGAGCCTGCGAGTGCTCATCCCGAGACGGTCCTCACCCAGCCCTCACTACCTCCTGGCTCACCTCCGCTCGCAGCCTCGCTTCCCCCCTGTTTCCTTCTAACTTCCACCTCCCCATCCTTGAGGCGCGGGGCGGGGGCTGGGTTACTTGGGTCGGGCACGGGAGGCTACAATCTGCCGACTGACCTGACGAAGGCCGCGTCAGACCCAGCATTACACAGCTCTAGAGCCCCTCGCAGCCATCCCCATCGCTACCGCCCACGTGCATCGCACTCCCAGTTTATTCCTCACGTCAGCCACTTCCACCGTTAGCACATGGCCGTCGGCAGCAGCGGTTTGGGCCATGGCCGCCACGGGCAACAGCCCCGGTGCAGCCCACGTCGGCTCACTCAGGCATCACGACAGGCCGGCTTGGCGCCGCCAGGGCGCCTGCAGCAAACGAGCAGCGCGACGCCGCCCAACCTCTTCCCGACACTACCGTCGGCAGCCATGGCGCAGGCCAAGGGGCCGCCGCGGGCGGCAGCAACCAAAGTGCGGCCAGCAGCTGGCTCTCTCCCCTCCCGTGCCACCCCGTTCTGCCCCTGGCACTGCAAGTGCAGCAACCGCCAGATGGAGTGGCACTGGGGGGGGGCGGGACCTGGGAGCGGGGAGACTGCATGCACTACGCCGCCCTCGCTCCGAGGACGCCGCCACGGAGGGCGCAGACCTCCCCCGCGCCCAGGGGAGCCCTGCGCCTGCTTGCAATGGAGGGCCCCCGTCGTGGGACTGGTGGCAGGGGGGGGGGCCTTTCCGCCTCCCACCATGGCAGGTGTGGCCACGCCGCCGCAAAGCCCTGTGGATCCACCCCAGCCACACAGCCGCCGCACGCTGTCAGTCCCACTCCCTGCCTTTCGCGTCTTCGCGGTTCTTGCTGCACCCTCACTCTATGTCCCACGCTCACGCATACAGCTAGACGCAGTGCCTTTGCTCCACCCTCTTGCTCAGGCTCGCGCTGCCTACCAACTTTCGCGACGGCTATTATGTTGGGGGGGGGCTATCGGATTGGAATGATGGATGGGGAGACACCTGAGCCACACCACCTCCGCAACAGGGGCCCCCGCCACGGAAGGCGCAAACCTCCCCCACGCCTGGTGGAACCCCCATGGGCGGCCGCCAGCCCTTTTGTCGGGAAACCTACGCCTGTTTGCAGGTGTGGGTCCCCGTCGTGGGCCTTCTGGACGCCTAGTTGGGGCTCGCATGGGCAGGGCGAGGAGGCCTTGGAGCCTTCCACCTTGGCGAGTGTGGCCACGCAACAGCACTACCTCCAGCCACACTGCCGCCGCACGCCGTCAGCCCCACCACCTCCCTGGGGGAACGAAATATGACATAAAAATAAAAACTCGGAGGTCCGCGCGGATTCGTCGGATCGGCGTTGGACCCACCTCCTTGGCGCGCGGAGCGCGCCAGGGGCGGCGCCGGAGGGGCCGCCAGCGGGCTCCAGCGCCGATCCGAGAAATCCGCGCGGACCTCCGAGTCTTTCTGCTTATGTCATTGTTCGTTCCCCTATTCCCTCCCTCATCTCGAGGTTTTGCATGTCCTCCTCTTTCCCTCTCCTTCTTGCCCGCTGCGCTGACCTGCCTTATTTTGCGGAATCTCCCACCAGCCGGCAGCCCTATTGGGAGGTGTCCCCCCGGGGCCGCCTGGCTCCATAGTTTGGTCACCCCTCGCAAGGCCGACCAGCCGCCTGGCTCCATAGTTTGGTCACCCCTCGCAAGGCCGACCAGCCCAGGGGGGGGGGGGGGGGGGGGGGGGGGGGGGGGGGGGGGGGGGGGGGGGCGAATCGCGCGTCTGCACGCACGACACCACCATGGCCGATAGAGAGGGAGAGGAGGAGGAGGAGGAGGAGGAGGAGGAGGAGGAGGAGGCGGAGAAGGACGAGGAGGAGGATGAGGAGGAGGAGGACTACTGTGAAACCAAGACTCATCAACGATGTTGGAATAAACCCTCCATCAAGCTCCCTCTTCAAAGCCCCTACAAAGGCTGACTTAGGGAATTGCTGCAGTGGGAAACTACCGCTTGAAGACCATGATACGTGCCAAAACCCCATTCTCGGGACTCCCGGATCAACCTGACTGTTGCGTCTTGACGATCCTAAACCGTGCCAGAACACCATTCCTGGGACTTCGACAGCGATCATTAAAAATAACTGTTACGCCAAATCCTGAGGCCTTCCAAAACACCATTGCTGGTACGTTACCCATGGGAATCCGTGAACCGATTGCAAATGTTTAAGACGAATGCGCGGGGCGCTAAAGCGAGAACCGCATTTTGAAAAAGCACCGGCCCCAGTCCGTGAAGCTCTTGCGAAATTTGTGTCTGAATGTGCGCGGCGCTAAGGCGAGAACCACATTTTGAAAATCACCCACCCTGAATCCGCGAAACTCTGGCACTGCTTACAAAATGTGCGCGGCGCTAAGGCGAGAGCCACGTATTGAAAACGGCTCGCACTCAATACGTGAAACCCTCGCCATTGTTTACAACACATGCACGCAACGCGAAACCGATAGCCACATTTTGAAAACGACACGAACTCAACCCGCGAAACTCTTCATATTGTTTCGCTCATGCGCGCGGCGACAAGGCTTGAGCCAAAATCTGAAAACAACCCGCCCTCAATCCGCGAAATTCTTGCAAATAAACGGTGAGGGATTCTCAGCCGAAACGCCCTACCGGCCCTTTCGACCAGCCTCGGGGTGCGACAGGGAGGAGTTTCTTATAAGGAAGAGGAATGGAGGAGGAAGAGGAGGAGGAGGAGGAGCGAGGAGCGAGGAGCGAGGAGGAGGGAGGAAGAGGAGGGAGGAAGAGGCGGAGGAAGAGGAGAGAGAAAGGAAGACGAAAAGGAGGGAGGAGGGAGGAGGAGGAGGAGGAGGAGGAGGAGGAAGGGAGGGAGGGAGGAGGATAGGAGGAGGGGAGGAGGAGGAGGAGGAGGAGGAAGAGGGAGAAGGAACACTCCACCACTCGGCTTCCTGGCCCGCCAGGGGGGCGGGGCTCCGGGCCCGGCGCCCTCTGCGGGGAGAGCCGAGGCGCGGCTAGGGTCGCAAGGGCCGACAGCAACAGGAGGTCCAGGGGGGTGGGCGTTGAGCAAGAGCGATGCCCCAACCCTTCTTCCCTCCCTCCCTCCACTGATTCATCAATCCATACATCCTCCTCCCCTTCTCCCTCCATCTCTCCCTCCTCCTCCTCCTCCTCCTCCTCCTCCTCCTCCTCCTCCGCCTCCTCCTCCATTCCTTTTCCATATGAATAACTTCTCCCTGTCGCACCCCGAGGCCAGTTCTTAGGGCGGGCCAGGCGTTTCGCCTGAGATTTCCTCACCAATTCTGACTCTGAAGCCTAAACGTTGACAGCAGTTTCATATATGGAGGGCGGGTCGTTTTGAAAATGTTGCTCTCGCCTTAGCGCGGCGCACATTCGTTTTAAAAATGTGCAAAAGTTTCACGGATTGAGGGCGGGTGGTCTTCAAAATGTGGCTATCGCCTTAGCGCCGGGCACATTCGCTCTAAAATGTTGCAAGAGTTTCACGGATTGAGGGCGGGTCGTTTTCAAAATGTGGCTATCGCCTTAGCGCGGCGCACATTCGTCTTACAAATTAGTAAGAGCTTCACAGATTGAGGGCGGGTAGTTTTCAAAATGTGGTT